TGTGTGTGTGTGTGTGTGTGTGTGTGTGTGTGTGTGTGTGTGTGTGTGTGTAATAAAAAAGACAAATATAGTGTAGGATGTCTAAGCAAATGACCAGTATAGACATATGACTATTATTTACCCAACTTTATCGCGATCCCCCACTCGCCCTCTCTGATTCCTATTTATACAGTATTATTTTATGTTTATTGCTAAAGCAATTTTTTTGTCCTCTAACTGCTTTGCTGAAACAGTTGGTTGGTTTTTATTTTGGGTATTTTGTTTGTTTGTCTATTTTCTTTGCTGTTTTGATGGGTGTGGGGCGGGGGGTAGGAAAAGACACGTATATTACTGTAGACAGATCAATGGTTACATATTATCTTACAGTGGGTGTGTGGGTGGGTGTGTGTATGTGTGTGTGTTTGTGTGTGTATGTATGTGTGTGTGTGTGTGTGTGTGTGTGTGTGTGTGTGTTTGTGTGTGTGTTCATGTGTGTTTGAATAGGTGTATGATTTCTTTTCATAAAAAGGGGGGCTGCTAAAATGACTATCATGAGTCTCAACATGCGTAGAAATACGGTAAACAAATATTTTTTTATTACAAAGACGCTTCCAAAAAAATATATGGGTATTTTTCCATTAAGACTCGGCATGCATGTTCCTGGGAAGTAGGTACGTCCATGAATAAAATGTTCTTGTTTTCTCCTTTTCAAGGGAATCAAGATTTTGGCCGATGTCATTCGAGAACAGAAAGGAGTGACAGAATAACAATACATCTTTGTCACAGTAAGTATATCGTGTTTGGTGTTGTTTTCATGATACAAAATGAAGAAAGGCGGACGATAACATTTGTCTTTTAATTTTGCAATCTTGATTTTCTACTGGCGAGAACAAACGCAATGCATGTAACAAAAAACGCAATGCATGTAACAAAATGGCTTTTAAAAAAACATTTAAAATAGCAACAAATGTACCTTGTAGCATTACCAAAAACAAAAAAAAGAAAGAAAAATAATAATATATTAGTTACGACTGCACGGTGCCAAATGTTATAAAAGAAATATTATTTATTCATGTATGTATTTTAAAGTAGAAGTAAATCATCCATTTGACAATCGTATCTCATGATCCCCGATTTAATTGTTATTGTTGTTCTCTGTTGCTTGTGGTGGACGAACAAAGAGAAATATGGTGAGAGGGTTCGCTTTGTGTTGGGTATTTATTGCATAAATCATTATAATATGCACTCTGAATATTTATTTCTTTTCCTCAGCATGCCTACATAGAAGCAATTCTTTTAAGGGAAGGGGGGGGGGCTACACCCCCAAAATAAAAATTCGGCTCAAAATCATGGAATTTGAGTTGTAGGCATGTTTAGCTTCCTCGGCCTCTCCTACAACTATATCATGGTATGAGAACCCCCCAAAAACCGCATTTTATCCCGTACCGGGCATGTTTGTAACCACCATTTCCTCATAAAGTCAGTATTTTATTTGTCTTTATCGGCCATTTTCTCAAAATGCGACTTTTCTCTATACTTTTTTGAATAACTCCACCATTTTTCATCCAATCTTCATGATATTTTCACAGAATAAAGAGAAGAGGTAATACTAAATATTTGTCTGTTGAATTTTTTATATATGGAATAGATTTTTGGTGGTGGTGTCTGAAGTGTGGATTTTCACGGATTTTTCGCAAACTTGAATGCTACCTCAGGAAAAAATTCATTAAAAAGTTTCTAATTCGATTAGGAAAAAAACAACAGACAAATTTTTAGATCTAATGTTTGTGAACACGCATTCAAAAAAACAATCAATTTCCATAAGCGATAAGTGCGGTATTCATTACGTAAAACATGTCAATAAAATCCAATATGGCGGCGTATCCATGGAAACGAAACTTTTTTCTCAAATTTGATTGAGGATTTTAAGACTCCTTACTATGCTTGTTATATGTGGGAAATTTGGTAAAATTCGGTACTGTAATAAGCGAGATAGCCTCCAGGTGTAGCCCCCCCCCCCCCCCCCCCACCTTAACCATCGAAATAAAAACAATTAAATCATCTTGTGATACTGAGAATAATGTATCCATTTTTACGTGATTTTGTATTTTGTTCCTTGAAAGAAACAACATTGATTTAGAAAGGAAGGAAAAAGGCACAATCTTTAATGTAATGACTTGTACTTTATTTTTACATCAGCTGGGCTTGCATGTTGTAACTGCCATGTCGTGTATTTCGCTATCCCTCAGTTGTTTTGATGTTTTGTTTTGTTTGTTTGTTGTTTTCTCGTGATTCCTTGTCTTTGCATGATATTATATTAGATTGTGAAGCGCATAGAGCTTGCTGTTGAGCGGGGATTTGCGCTGTACAAATGCTATCTATTATTATATTATTATTATTATTATTATTATTATTATTATTATTATTATAATTATTATTATTATTATTATTATTACTATTATTGTTATTATTATTGTTATGTGACGAGTCCTGTCTTTGACGTACATTATAATGACGGATTGTACTTCATTGTGATTAAACATATTTATCGACACTATTAATTTATATCATTTAGGAGGCGGGCTCCCCACCCTGCCTGTCAGGGCGAACCCAGCCTGAGATGGACACAACATTTTATCAGAAAGAACGAGAGACTCGATAAAAATTCTCCCCAATCGGGAACGATAAAAATTATCCCCAGTCTGGAGTCGAGCGTGGGTCTCTTGTTTGGGACAACGAAGCAGCTAGATCTAGCCCCAACACCAGAGCCGCCGGTTAATCTTTATTCTTTGGTGGTATTGAGTGAAAGGCAAACGAGGCAGGGGTAGGCCCAGAACAATCCACTTGGGGAACCTAAACAAATGGGTAACAGGAAAAGATCAGGGAAACATAGATTTTTTTAGAGCAACCGAGCAAAGGAATGAATGGAGAACCATGATAGCCGGTATCTGTCGTAGATCTGGCACTGGATGAGGATGACTGAGTGAAACGACAAAAAGCGAGAAGATGAATACTGTTGAAGTAGGAATGTGCTTTTAAGTCGTCAACTGAGAAGAAATTATATTCATTTTTTATTGTTGCTTTAATGTTTCCCAACCGAACGATAGGTCCAATAAAACACATCCAAGAGGAATCCATTTCTCTCTTATTTCTATGGCATCCTACAGACAGACGCATGTCTGGCACCCGTCGCCATCAAGGACAAAACCATTGGGGCAGTCTCCACAGGACAGGACTTGGCACGTCACGGGAGGTCGACAAGTGCAGGTCTCACATCCGGTGCTGGGGGCAAAGACGGAGGTTTTGTTTGTTGGGGTAAAGAGAAGCACATCGACACAATGGTGGTCATTTAAGTGCTGGGAAAAAGGTAAGACAGACAGACAGAAACAACAGAGGGAAAGTATAGAAGTAGGACCTACCAGTGGCGCCCTCCAAACACCCGCTGAGAAAAGATGGAGAATATTAATTAATTTGTTGTGGAATAGTACAAAGTATCCCAGAGTAAATAACTATTGTAGATTGTGGACAAAGCGTGATTGTGTAAGTGCCATAGTACATGATGTATTCTTTTTCTTTAGAACCGTCGCATCTCCTGCCGGCGTATTAACTCTTTCTGTTCCACAAATGATAGGCACAATGACAGAAGTTGTTTGTTTTGCTTAGGTGAAGAGAATCACATCGACACAATAATGGGAATAACAGTGTTGTGAAAAAGAAAGACAGACAAACTGGAAACAACAGATGGACTTACCAGTCGTGCCCTCCAACCACCCGAGTCAAAAGTTGTATAAGAAAGACACCGATATACAGGCTCATGGTGTAGAAAGAGATAAGTAAAAGTTTGACGGCACTTGCAACGCCATAAGATCATAGATGCCGACGATCAAAGTCTTTATAAGAGAGTAACAAACACAAAATGGGGGAGAGATCTGGACAACATGGCGTGTTTGATAGGAAAAAAGAGCAAAGCATATCACAGCGCCTACGAACCGCCTACACACTGAGATGTAACATTAAAAGTGCAGTAAATAATATGTTTATGCTTAGGCTATGATATTGTTGACTTTCATACTTCATAAACATTTATAAACAATAAATAAACAAGCTATTTTATATACAGGTTTATTTCTCTTGTTGACAAAATATCTGAAGTTACGATGATTTCGTTGTTTTGCTTTCGTTTTGTTAACACTATGTGGCTCCAATGGACACAATTCAGATCAGTTGTTGTGTTGCGACATAGTGGAATCGGGTGCTCGTCGATTTGTGATCCTGTTTAGTCATTGGTATCATCTTAAAGATTGTTCACTTGTCTTGCTTTCGAAGAAAAAAATATCCAGTTATCTCGAATACAAGTCGAGATAATTGCGATTGAAGGCCAAGGGGTCGCCTGGTTCAGAGCTAAAAATAGTGGAAAATGGCTGCCAAAGTTTAATTATTTCCTTATCTTGAGAGTTCATGAAAATAGAAAATGTACACTTTTTGTACCTTTAATCAACATTTTTCAGTGATGTCCACACAGGAATGTGTTCTTTAATGGACATTAAAGGTGCTGACCCAAAGAAAGAAAATTAGAAGAAAAAAATGCCCATTGGCCAATTAAGTGATAATTTCTTTGATTTCATTATTTTGACGAGTGCTTGATTTCACCACGCTGCCTCACAATTATTGTGGAGAACACACAGCTTCGATGTTGTCTGTTGGGCCAAATAGAATAGTGTGTGATACTGCCCTGCGATAAGATCCCGATACTAGACATGTCTGACACAGTATAGAACCCCCAACTCATTGGCCAATGAGGTTAAGAAACTGGCCACTGCACCGCAATGGTGGATTTATTTTAATATTATTATTAATGTGAAATGTGAGTATACAATTGTATTATGTATAACATTTTTGAAGAGCACAGGGGAACAACGACGGTAGTCACAAACTGGAAATTGTGAGGGTGACAATTTTAAAAGCTTGTGGACTCATAACTTTATATTTGTTTGACTGGTGGTTTATTGTTAAGTGTTGTTTAATGGTAAATTAAACAAGAATAATCTACCTACAGTTGAACAGAAATACAGTTCTGAGTCAACAAGCGTTTAACATTGGTACTCTCATGATTTTCAGTTTGTGACTACCTGTAGTCTTCATATGTATTAATGCCAGCATATACGTAGCATGCCTTGAAACATCAGAATTGGTGGGGAAACGGTTAGGCACTCCGCCGTTGTACACAGTAGACCTGAGTTCGATTCCCTTGTGGGGAACATTTTTATGGAATAGTTATTTGGGGTCAAACAGAGTGTCAGGAACTATATTTTCTCGTGGATTAAGTGTGTTAATCAGTACCGCTTTTCCATGTTGAAACTTGATAATCCTATTTTCTGTTGACAATCAATATGCCTAGTAAGACAGGATGAGAGCGAGATGTTACTCAATCTGATTTAACTGGTTGGATTTGTATGCATTGGAGAGTTTGGGCATTTCTTTGTATTTTTTTTAAAAATTCCAGTTATAATAAAACTAATAAATGGAAGACACACTCTTTGACTGAGTTCTTTTGTGATCCGTCTTTCAGCTGAGACTTTGTATTCTGATTGGCCCTGACAGGTAGGGTTGAACCACGCATCCTAAATTATTTGAACAATCTAAATTGTATGGATAGTTGTGTAAATGACAATGACAATCTTTATTCATCTCGCATGGGAAAAATTTGTCTTGTTCCTGAACAATGGTAGTAGACTTTACAAAAGTTAGGTGCTCTCACGCATACACACAAGACAGGACATTAGTAAATACATGTCTCACGTGCTGGGACAACCCGCCCCGTAAAACATTCTCTCTCTCTCTCTCTCTCTCTCTCTCTCTCTCTCTCTCTCTCTCTCTCTGTTTCATTTGTAGTACTGTGTGTACAGTAACCTCACTGCATTTGGTACGAATGAATTTCTATATCTGTCTGTTCTTGCCTTTTTAGAAACGTATCTTTTATAAACCGCAAAAAAATTACATGTCACCTTGTATCAATGATCCGACCGTTAGCACACTCCTCAGTACAGTCCAGTTCCGGACACGGGCCATCCCTGCAGTAGCACGTCACACATCCGTCATAACGTATCACGTGACCAAACTCACACACTCGCCAACACCGGCGCTGTGGGCAGAAAGGTCTCTTGCAGCGGCAAGTGTTGCAGCCATATTTGTTGTACTGTGGGGAAAAGAGAAAGTATGTTAGTCTGTTTATACAGTGTTTAAAGCCATTTGCTTTTTCGGTTCATCAAAAAATTCGATGGCAACATGACTAGAGGGCGACAGAGAACGACCTGGATAGATGGATTCAGGGAAACACTAACCACCCACCGCATCCCCCTGACCCCAGCTCTCCGGCTGGTTGCAGAGAGACGTCTCTTTCTTCCCGCGACACCCAAAAGGATATAAGCGGCGGATAAAAGTAAAAGTAAAGTAAAGCCATTGGCCAACATCACATCATATAACACACTAAGTTGTTAAATAAAGTTTCCATAATGAAAAGGTACAGGTTGTGCACATATCTCTTATCATGGGTCAAACATTGCAAATTTCTGTCACTGAGCCGGGTCAGGCTGGGGTGAATTAACTACATGTATTTCCTGTGATTGACAAAATTTAGACGGTAGAAAATAAAGTGAAATTCGTCTTAAATTTCATGAGAGTTACACTTAAGGTTGAATTTATGAGTTTCCACCGATAAAGATTGTTATTTAATGGAAGGCTATATGAGTTTTTTAAAATCAAGGATATGACTCTTCTGTTCCAATATAAAATATATATATATATATATATATATATATATATATATATATATATATATATATATACATTTTTGTATCTATCTTACATTTGTGAAAGTTCGTCATATTGGCTGGCTAAACCTCCCGAAACACTCATCTTTCAAACTTGAAAAAATTACCGGTGGTTCAGAATCATTCAAAGGGTGCACAGTTTTATTGAAGAGTCTAAAGCCATTGTAGTTTAATTTTCAGTTTTTCATTAGTTTCGTTTAGATCTACTTTTGGGGAAAGCCGTTTTCTTAGACGTCATTGTAAACACGTGAGGCTTCCGTTCACAAACAGAGCGCAAATGACTTGACAATCGATTCTTTTGAGTAATTTGAGTCCGTTTATCGAACGGGTGTACCCAACTAATAATTTATACTTGCAACAGAATTCTGGGGAAGCGAGAAATAGCTTTGATAATGTCAACAGCCTAGACAATTGGTCGCTTTTAAGAAAGATCGAGATACTCGATGAAAACAGCTCTCTCTCCACTCGGGAATATAACTCGGGTCTCCTGCGTTCGACAGCGAAGCACCCAACCGCTACACCACCGACACCGACACCGATAACCTACCTTGTATCCCCTCGTGCACGTCCGTGGGTTGTTACAGCGGACCTTGGGACACGTGGGTCGGAGACACTGACAGGTGGGGCAGCCGTCTCTGTCAAGCTCAAAGCCGAAGAGGCACAGGTTCACACACGTGAGCCGGCAGATGGGGGGTCTGCACTGGCATCTGTAAAATACATGTATAGGAATGGGGAACGGTTGAAAAGCATTGAACAAATATGGGGGAAATGGTGGGGAATTTTTAAATTTAAAAAACAAGGACGAAGAACGATAGAAAGAAAATGAACAAATATGGTGAAAATGTTAAAATAAAAAAGGTCTCAGAACGATATAAAAGAAACAAGGAAATAAGAAATAAGGGGGGAATGTAAACAGAACAAGAAGGAAAAAGAACGATAGAAAAGAAATGAGGAAATAAGGGGAAAATGTAAATAGAAAAAAGGACGAAGAATGATAGAAGAAAAATGAACAAATTTGGGGGAAAATACAATACAGCCGAGCCTGACAGACTTGCACTTGCATTTATAAAAGGGACGAAGACCGATAAAAAAAATGAAAAGACAAATGAATTTGGGGGGG